GGAGAAGAAGAAGAGTAGTTACCAAAGTCTTCGACCGACATTATTTCTCTTAATTGGAATTTGGTTGACAATAATGAACTAACCCTAAAATCGGTGGATAAAACTAGATCTTGTCCGTAGTTGAAACTTGTTACAGGACTACACTTGGCGGAGTTCCTACATATTATACTACTTCTGTTTTAAAAAAAAAATTCGATAATTGAAACAAGTCGTTCTTTGACACTTGAAATAAATAAGACAAGAAAAAGCAATTAAAGCTCCCAAAATCCAAATGGTTCAAATAAACTCTCTTTTTTTTTCACTTGAGCTATATTTTAATGTACATCAAATATTGCATGTTTGAAAACTTGGAAGATGAATCAACTTCAAATCAACTTGGGACGCACACAGAGTATATATAAAATTTCAACATTTGGAAGCGATGTGATATGATACGATAACGTACGATAGCTAACCTGCCAAGTTGTCATCAGGGATTGAAAAATTCATTAAAAGGTTTGAATCCTACTAGCTAGAATATGACTACACAAGGTTTTCACAATGTGCACAAATAATTATAAGTTCAGGTCTGAAATTGACTTTCTTCACCAATTCATACATATATGCCAGTTTCACAACATGCTGCTGCATCAGCAACCTTTCTTGAACGGTACGTAAACTCAGATGATTGTCTAGGTTTTACCAGTTGAAACAGTGGCTCTTAGCCTTGGTGCAATGATGAAATTTATCTTGCTTTTCCCACTCTGATGATCAACAGGCCAGCGAAACTACCTGGTTCTGGCAGAAATTAAATTTTGTGTTAAAAGAATTCCACAGTTTATGAAGCTCTTTCCTTCAGTTACATAGTTGAATATAAGATGTTTATTGTGTACAAGTTCCAATTATGAGGAAAAATTACATAAATGGTGTTCGCTAAGATGAAACTATGCTAAATCAGATATCAGAAGAACTAATTAACTAGTCTTCTGCACCTTAAGCGTCGTGTCAGCTCCTTCAACTTCGCCAATTGAGAGATGCAAATCGCCGAACTAACCAAAAGCAACTGACAAAATAAACCCCAGAGATGGACACACAAGAATTCATATTAATAGCTATAGTGAATATGTATTTATGATCAAGATATTAGAACCTCAATTTTAATGGAAAAACTTTTACCAACCATCAACGTGAAAAATGCGACTTCAGATGCATGTGAAACGTATCCTTTAAGAAAAAGACCAGACATCGTGTTCATGAGCATTATCACAAACCAAAGGTACGCAGCCTGAGAACAGATATATATATACCATGATATCAGAAAACAGAACTAATACTCCCTTCGTCCCAGAAAAATAGTCCATATTGATTTTTCAAATTTATACTAAAATTAATACAAATTTCAAAACTCAATATGAACTATTTTTTTGGGACAGAGGGAGTACAATACTACCAATAATGCATATGGGAATTTGGGTCACTTCAATTTCAAGAGCAGATTAATGGATTCAATCTTGAAGTGTTTTTTTCCCTACAATTTTTTGGGTTCCCCTATTCGGATATAAAAAAAAAAAAAAAAAAAACCAATCGATCGAGGAGAAAATGTATTAATTAGTAGTAGTAATTACCAAGATTGCGGACATAACTTGGAGGAGTAACAATGCCAACAAACAACCACTGGTTTTGGGTGAGCTCTCCAATGTCTCCAGCTTCAAGTCACAATATGCGTCAGCAGAGGAACTGGCAGAAGCTCGCCGGACAGAGGTGGTAGTCGGACGAGATGAGTTCCGACAAGACTTCCAATCCCGGCTACCGAGGTCCATCCCAAGACGAAAGCAGCAACCGGGTTTAGCTGAAAATTAATGATGATAGAAATTGATGTAGGCAATTTCAAATTATACATGGAGGGGGAATTAAAATCATGTTATTAGAATTTAGAAATACCCGTGTCAGGAATTCCTGTCCGGGAGAACAGGCCTAGCGGAATAGGAAGAGACAACAAAGATGGTGTTCTACCAGCAGAGGAAACGTTGGTAGGGAACATCCTGAGGTTGAGGCGGCTGGGCACTGCCTGCATCGTCGTCGGCCGGTGGGATCGGACTGCGGAAATTATCAAAGGGAAGAAATGATCGGGAAATGTTCTGTATATTTTTCACCAAGATGATGACAGTTGCAGTTTCTAATGAGAGAGAGATTCGTTTGAAATGACGGTGGTCTTTGCGGGTGGGCTAACCACATTTTTTAAAATTATGCAAAAAGATTCGTCGTCTTTTTTGGCCGGTGGATTCCACCTCCACATTTTTAATTATAGTTTTATAAGCTTTTCCATGTCGAACGAATCATGTAACAACTGATCACGTGTCTACTATAATGTTATTTTTTCCACGTAAAAAAAAAGGAAATCACATCGATTATACTTTTATTGATTTTTTCCAATCACTTTTTTTGTTTATAATGAGAGAGGCTGAAACCTAATTACAAAAAATTAAGACTTGTCAGAAATATAAAATCCTGATAACATCATGTTCCAGCTATTTTCGTGCCTCAACTGACCACACAACCAGTCGTTAAAAGTCTCCCGGACTCCGTGAAACTATCGCCGTCATATAGTCCGTGACAAAATTCACCTTCCTATAAAACTGCGAGTAATAATTAACTATATATGTTCACGCCCATGTCTAAAAATACCTAAAATAACATAAATTTCATTCCGTTACAAACGCTTGAATTCCACAATCACCAGTTTGAATTCCATTTCTTCATAAGTTCCACAAAGTTGACTTCTCACAAAACAACCCAAACACAAAAGTGAGACCAAAAAAAAAAAAACAATGCTTTCGGACCATTTTAATAGTCTCTGAAACAGTGATTACAACTTTATCGACGCAAATCTATATTTTCCTCAATATTAGGATTTGGGAAAATAAGATTAGTCAGTCAACCTCCTTCTTCTTCTTCTTGATTTACATGAACGTTGCTTGAGCTTGCTTCAGTATTATTAACTCGTCTTCTGCAAATGTCTCATCAGCTTCTTCACAAGATGTGTTAAGCAAACAGCCAAACCAACCATAAGTACCTGAAAAATCCCAGATGATCAACAAGAATACATATGTTACTGACTGTATATGAAACGTGTAAGTACAACAGCATTAACAGGAAATTTGTAACAACCATTGAAGTGAGAAGTGCTGCTCCAGATGCAAGTGATACAAGATCTCTAAGTTGTTTATCCCCAACCATCCACAAGTACCACAGTTTCATACTCCCTCTTCCCTTAGGTGTCATCTGCATTAACAGATACCAAACTATCCCAACCTGAAAAAATTTACATGTATAATGATATCAGAAAAATTTCTTCTCTTGATTAATGAATTCAATGTGAAAGTTCTTTCTTTTTTTGCTTCTTTTTATTTTTTTCCAAATCTCAGATTAAAGAATTAAATCCCAGAGGGGAAAAAAGTAATCTTTACCAATATCCCGGAAATAACTTGTAAGATTAACATTGCCCGAAAATAAGCCATGGTTTTCAGTGTGTCCTCCAACTGCAAGTCTTTGCCTGTCAAAATCACAGAGATAAATGATTCTAGTTATTATCATTCCTACAAGCATGAATCCCAAAATTGCCACTTTGAATTGCAAAAGGAACATACGTCTCAGAGATTCCTCTGTAGGCTGACAGTTAGCAGAGGAAGTAGGAGCAGCTCGCAGAACAGAACTGGCCGGACGAGTCAGACCAGATGAGCTCCGGGAAGATCTCCAATAGCTACTTCGATCGAGACAAAGGCAGCGATTGGAATTTTCTGGGAAAGAAAATTGATGTGAATATCCCCAAACTTGAGATGAATTTTTTTTAAAAAAGTTTTGTTCTTTCCTTCTCCCTTGTTGTTGCGATAAAATAAGATTACAGAGAAACCAATAACACATTACCTACCGGGAAAAGAAGCCGGACGGAGAGGCAAACTCGGCGTTCTAACCATCCTGAGCTTAAGGAAGCAGGGGACTGCCGCCATTTGGAGTGGTTCGGCCGGTCGCAAATGGAACAGAGGAAAACTATGAAGGGAGGGAAAACAGGGGAGGAAGTTTTTGATGTATAATTGCCGGAAGTTGGTGATTAAACAAATTATTACGGTTTCCAGCTTCAGCTAATAGAAGGTTAATTAGCTTGAGATAGATGATGGTTAGCTAAAGCCCAATGGAGTTTTTTTTTTTGTCAAAAAAACAGTCCAATTGAGTTGTGGGCTTTTCATCTTCAAATCGGGCAGTCAAACACCGACTTGAGTGGTCAAACGTGTTTATTTTTAAAAATAAAAAAAAAAAAAATTCGTTGAAAATCCAACAACATCTTTAGAAGTTGGTCAAAGTTGTATATTGACGGTAGGCAATCGTCTTTTTTCACTCTAATAATGCCAATAATGGTATAAAATCTTGATCGAAATCGGTTCCTTTAGTCGAAATTGAAGGGAAGGAGGGAATGATTACCAAATTACAGTTTCCAGATAAAGCTAATAAGTTTTAATTTGCTTGAGATTGATGGTGGTTAGCCAAGAACAGAAGTCACAATTCAAGATCCTCCTACTATGATAAATTCTATCTATAAAGAGCGTTTTTTTGGTCGGTGCCTCACCTACAGTACACTCACTGTGATCAAAATTCAATCTTGAATGAGTTTTCTAAATGCTCCTTTCCCATTTCTAGGTTCCAACACTTAATATAATCTCAATCCAACAGTTACATTGTACCTTAACCTTCAAGGAAAGATCGACATTATGCTCATTCGCAGAAGGGATTAAAGCCAAAGCCATACACTTCTACTAATGCAGATTTATATTTACCCCAAAGCCATAAGTCAACTCATACATCTGATTTCAAAGACGAGAAGAGATATAGGGTTGTATGACAATAGTAATGGCGTACTAATATTTAGGAAACACCCATGTTGATGACAATCAGGTAGAAATCACAGATGATAATGGAAACCATAGAGCAAACACTTGCAATTTGAGAGATGTGGAGGGTTGGAAGCTTCAAGGCTGTTTGCGACTAGGTCTTCCATAACTTTGATTCATGTTCTGCATCCGGGGCTTGGATTCCTGCTGCCTTTTGATCCCACTCCCAGAATACGGAAACTTGTTCTGCACCCCGGTCCTGAATTCTGGCTGCCTTTTCATCCCACTTCCAGTATTTGGAAATTTGTTTTGCACCCCAATCCCGATTTCTGGCTGTTTTTTAGTCCCACTGCCAGCAATTGGAAACTTGTTTTGCACCCCGGTCCTGAATTCTGGCTGCTGCTTGATCCGACTTCCAGTAGTATCAGGAAACTTGTTCTGCACCCCAGCTGTGAATTCTTGCTGCCTACTGATCCCACAGCCAATATTTTGAAACTTGTTCTGCACCCCAGCCTTGAATTCCAGCTGCTTGTTGATCCCACCTCCACCAGTAACAGGAAAAGCTCCGCGGCCAGTATCCTCAGTAATGAACTCAGCCTATACCACAAAAAAAACGGGTCCAGCGTTTAAACACTGGTGCAAGATTGGAGACAGCAACGATATTTATTGTAATAACTGCCTTCGTATTTTTATTCTCAATGTCAATCAAATCTTATAAACATACTAACTAATTTTGAAGCAAGAAACTGAAGGAGTTCTTACCCAGATGCTTGCTTGCTGCACAGGAGTAGTTTCTGACCATGAAAAATACAGCACAAATATTAGTTTCAAGAAAAGGTTTTCTGGACAGACAAACAAGAAAAAATTTTCAATAGCCTACCATTACCTGGCTGCTCAACAGTCAACTTAAGGGTCCCCTCATTATCTGAGTTCCTCTTAGCAAATAAAGAAGCCAAAAATTTCTCCTTCGACTGGATTACTTTGTAAAGCTGCCCTGCATCAGAATCTTGGAGAAAATTTTTTGAGTTTGAATAAGGTCACTGCACGTAGATCGATGAGATCTTGGAGAAAAATATAGAATGTCAGCATACCAAGAAGTGATTGGATTGCTGCCTTTGCAGCGAGCTGCTCCGCCACTTTCTTGCTTTCAGCTTCTCCACTAGTATAAGTTTCACCACAAAATTCAAAAGAAGATTTGAACACTGCCCTTGGTCCTTCAATGGGAATTGTATGGTATTTCGGGATAGGCAGGTTCATCTTCACGGCATACTCGTGCAGGATAGACTTGCAATACGTAGGTTCCTTAAAATTAATAGGCAAAAAGTAAGAAAACAGAAAACATGGATGACTCGTGCTGTAATTAGATTGAAAATTTTCCATTTTAGATTGACTGAGAACACCAAAACACTATTCATGTTTGCAGTGAGCAGTGGCTTCTAGAGTTCTAGTAATAGCTACTTAAAAATGGCAGATTGAATGCAATGAAACATATAAACATATCATTATCTACAATACTATTCTTAACCGTGAAATTCACAGTATCCCAACTTTCTAAGATCAGATTCAAACAGAGCCTATCACATGTAATGTGACTTCCCAAGAGAACAAACAAGTCATCATCTTTAAAATCTCTAGTTAGCTTGAGGCATATATACCTAAATCCACTACAAGAGTTCATAACACAATAATACAAGGTTTCACCATTTGGACAAATGACGTTTTGATCTTTTCCATACCTGGTGAACAAGGAGGGGCCCTAGTTTAGGTCTGAGTGCGATGTTCTTCACAGATTCCAGGGCCAATTTCGCAACATCCTGGTCTGCTGCCTTTTGATCTGGAAAGGTTGAGTTCGATGTGTATTTAGTTTCACCAACCAAAACAGAAGCTCTAAACTTTGGTGCATGATCAAATCCTTCATTCACACTCTGATAAACCGGGAGTGACAACCCTGCTTTCTGAACCAGCTCTTGCAACCGGTTTTTGTACATGGGCCAAGCAGGTTCTGGCAACAGTAGAAATTTGTGTTAAGAATTCTACATATAACTTTACAACAACTCTGGTCAGCTTAAAAAAATTAAAGATAAGACGTTTACTGCAACATGTGTGGAAATGAAGTATGAAGATGATTCGATCAGTGCTCAAGCAGAACCAAAATTGCAGAACTGAAAACGTGAAAACTAGGCCTTCGATCAGTGCTCAAGCAGAACCAAAATTGCAGAACTGAAAACGTGAAAACTAGGCCATACTTTGTAAGAAAAATGGAGTATTGCAGAAAGAACTCAATTATGCTTCATAAAAGCTTCATTTTCAGGTTTGCTTAACAAATTCCAATTTGCAACAAAGCATTTTCTTGTTATCTGTTTAAAACTTAACCTTAGACTGCACTTGTTTCTTATGAAACTTAAAGAAAAAAACAAATGAAAACATACAGTTGAAGAAGATGAAGCTGAGAAGATAAGAAAAGACATACTATTTTCTGGTGGAAAAGCATCCATTTTTGTTTCTTCGAGATACAACAGTTTGATTATCGAATTCTGGGTTAAGCTAGAAACCGTCAAAGAAAGTATTTTCAGCACTCTTAACAATGGGAAGTGAAGAGAGACTGTGAAAAGGGATAAGATACAGAAAATGGGTTCATGTAAGTTGAATGTGTTTGATGCTTGTACTGTGTTGTGTACATGGATTCTTGACCAGCAGTGCTGAGAACTTTATCAGTCCTTTGATTCCTTGCCAAAGTTATGCACAAAAAAGCATGCTTCTCTTGTTTATTCTGGCTCAGTCTTTTCTTTCCCTTCATTTTATGAACTATCCTCTCTAGTTTGCATTCTTTTTACAAGTAAGAAAGTTACAGAGAATATATTACACAAAAATAAAAATCGTCAATACCTGGTTAACATTAATGTAAACATACGTTACAACAAAGACCAAAGACCAAATGGTTCGGTTCACTATCTATATAACATACATGGAACTTTTGCTTGAGCTATTTCAGATGGATTGGACTAATGAATTGTCCTGAATACCTCAGAAATGACCCAACTTCTCCTTCTTCACCAAATGGATGATGCAAAGAGCCGAACCAACCATGAGTAACTGCAAAAAACAAAAAAAAAAACAGATGGGAAATTCACAGATTAACAACAACCACATAAGAACATTATAACTTCATTTTTACAATTCAAATGATGCATTGCTGAAAAAAACTACAAACCATCATAGTGAACAATGAGACTCGAGAAGCAAGCGCCGCAATCCATGAAAGTCGTCTGTCGCCAATCAACCAAAAGGACCAAAGTTTTATACCCCCTCTTCCAGCAGATACTGTCATGTTTACCAAATACCACAGAAACCCAACCTGAAACACAAGTTACATCATGACATTGGAATGCTAACATCAACACTGTAAGCCTTGTATAAATCAGAAGAGCAAAAGACTAACTAAAGAAGCAAATCCATGGAGATAAGGGAAAAGTTGAGTACCGATATTCCAGATATAACTTGTAGGATTAACAATGCCCAGAAATAATTCGCCATTTTGAGTGTGACCTCCATGGGCTCCAAGTTCAAGTCTTTACCTGTCAAAAAAATGATATAGAATCCTAGAATGACAAATGATTCTGGCTTATAGACAAGAATCTTATTGAATCACAATGTAATTCCAATTGAATTTATCCAACATACCGGGCAGAGAAACGACTGTGAGCTGATAGTCAGCAGAGGAAGTAGGTGAAGTTCGCCGGAGAAAGGTGGGCCTCCGGCCAGTCCGATCAGAGGAGCTGTGGAGAAACATCCTGAAATCCTTCTGAAGGCAAGGCCAGCAACTGGGGATTGCTGAAATCGAAGAAAAAATTTCCAAAACATGATGCTAAATTCTTCTTCCTTTTGTGGAATGCCCAAAATGATGAAGAAACAAAGAAGACGGAAAACCCAATAAATCACTAATTACCAGAAAAGGAAGCTGGTCGAACCGGCAAGCATGGTGTTCTACTAAGAGTAAAAAGGATGGAGTCCATCTTACTCGGACCAAAGAGACGAGAACCAGCCGGAGGAAGCTGGAGGTGGCACGGCGGTGCTTGCATGTCGGATCGGAAAAAAAACAGGGGAAATTATGGAAATATATGATTATCGAATGGTATTTTCCAGATTCAGCAAAATCCCAGAAAATCTGCTTGATTTGCAGATGCTGATCTGGTGGGCCGAAATCAAACTTGAAAAAGAATCATGAAGCCGTGATCTTGACGTTCCCCTTTTCAGTGAAAGTCGCATTCAATAAGACTGCTGGGAACGGTAGAAAGGAAAAGCGTGAATTTCGGCCGGTGGCCGGCGTCACCCCACTGTTGTACGTCACTCACCGAGTCAAATAGAAAAATACTTTTCGATCATGTGATCAAAATGAAATCTTTTGATGATTCTTTTTGAAATTAGAATGACCTTTTATGTCATTTGGTAACATTACAACTAAATAAGGAAACCTCGTAATTCACGGTTGATATAGAATAACAAGTTTATAAAGTGTTAACCTTTGAGAGATCAAAAGAAGTCATAATAATGGAGTAATGAATAGCATAAAATTAGAAGCCTGACTTTCCACAGGCGTCATAGCAGCTACGCTAACCATAAGATGCAGAACCTGAGAAATACACAGATTGTCATATCAAGATAAAACAGTTTAGATGCACAAGGGAATTTGCTCTTCATTTCCACAGCAAATTCCTGAAAGCTTTTCTTTCAGATTAATTAACTCCACATCAAAGTCCTTATCTTTTTGTCCCTTCCCTTTTGGGGATTAACGAACCAAATTCTAGAAAAAAAAAAAAAAATGTATTACCAATGTTAAGGATTTAACTTGTAGGCGTAACAATGCCATAACAGAGCCTGTGGTTAAAAAACACATGATTATGAGAATTAAAAATCCTACAGAAGAAGGCCGATAATTACTCATTCATACAGACAAGAATGCCACTTTTGATTTGTATAACAAAAGAACATACTGGTCGGAGAATCGACAGGAGGCTGACAATCGGCAGAGGAATTAGGAGGAGGAGCTCGCCGGACGGAGGGATTCAGACAAGATGGGCTCCGCAAAGATACAGAATTCCAGCTACTGTGATCCTTATCAATGCAATGGCAGCAACTGGGATTTGCTGAAATAGTTGATGTTAGAAATCCCAAACATTAAATTTCAGTTTCTTTTTGCTTTTTGTTAGGAATATAATAACCCAGAAAGAACGAAGAGAAACCAATTAAACAGAATCTACCAGTACCAGAAGAGGAAGCTTGCCGAAGCATCAAACCGGTAGTTCTACTAGTAGAGAAAAGATTGGTAGAGAGCATCCAGAGATTGAGGCGGCAGGGCAATGGAGTCATGTCGAGTCCTCTGTCAATCAGATCAGACAGGGGAAAAAAGAAGAAGAAGGGTTTATTGTGATTGCACCCAAGATCTTTGATCAACAACTTCCAGATTTCAGAAGTAATTCGTTGGAGACGATAATCGGTTGCCGCCGGCGGGCTTTATGACTTAAAAAGAAACCCGAAAAGGAGGTTCCTTCGGACATTTATTTTTGTGCGAAAATTTTAGACACAAATTAAAAAAAAAAAAAAGTGCAATTTAATAAGTATTCACTCTGTCCCAAACTTATTGTCTGGTTTCGATTTTCAGTAGTTTCGACTAAAACTAAAAATCAAGACAATCATTTCGGGACGGAAAGAGTATAAAACAAACGTTGTGCAGAGTCGGTTCAACCATTTTAAGTATGCAATTTTACTCCCAACAACAATACTGCTACTCTGCTGTATATATAGTTCTGTACATTTGATCGCAAAGCTAAATTTATCATCTGAAGACTTCTATGGTCATACACGCGCGCATTAGTAATAACACAATTTTTGTACTCCCTCTGTCCCAAAATTATTGTCCTGTTTGAGATTTTATTTTTAGTACAATTTGAACTAGAAATGAAAACTTAAACTGGACAATAGTTATGGGACGGAGGGAGTATTAGTTTTGGAACTTTTGGTAATGAGTGACAACTTACTAGGTTGTATTCCCCATGTCTCCCAAAAGTTCCAAAATGCTTTTCCGAATATTGGGACAATATCATCTCAGTTCATGACAAAATGCCAATCCTCTATATCTTCTGCTGCTTCTTCTAATCTACTTGAAACTCTGCTTGATCTTCTGCAAAAATCTCAGCATTCTCTTCACCAGATACCATACGCAAATAGCCGAACCAACCAGAAGCAACTGAAAATTTACCAGATGGTCAAGACACATGTTACTGACTATATCATGAACATGATTCTAACCTAATTTTTCACAAATCCCATTGAAGCGAAAAGTGTGGCTGCAAATGCAGTTTGTCCGTAATCTGAAAGCTGTTCATCATTAACCATCCACAAGTACCAGAGTTCTGCTCCCCCTTTTCCCACAGTCATAATCTTAACCACATACCAAACAAACCCAACCTGAAGTCGCATATATCGCGTTATCAGGAAAGATACTAACGCTGCAGAGAGGCTTATGATGAATATGGAGAATTTGGTTTCACATTTTTCCAGACAATTACTGAAAACTTTTCTTCTAGATTAGTGAACTCACTAGCAAAGAGTTCCCTTTTTGGTGGGATTAAGGAAGCTAAATCCCGAAGAAAAAATGATGATTACCAATGTCCCGGAAATAACTTGTATGATTAACAATGCCCAAAAATAAGCTGTTCCATTGAGTGTGTCCACCTCCAAGGGCTCTAACTGCAAGTCTTTGCCTGTTGAAACACACAGATCATGCAAAATTAACAACATTACAGAATGCCGGCCGGAACATTATCATTCAAACAGGCATGACTAACAAACTGATTTGACAGGACATACAGGGCAGAGAGTTTTCTGTAGGCTGACTGTCGCTAGAGGAAGTTGGAGGAGCCACAGCTCGCCGGACAGAGGTGGTCCGACAACTCAAACCAGACGAGCTCCACAACAAAGATCTCCAATTGGAGCTACTGCGACCCTTCTCAAGGTAAACGCAGCAACTGGGGTTTGCTGAAATTCATGTACACATTAAGAGTCAGATACAAGAAAGTTTAGTTTTGTTTTCGCCCTCATTAGGCATACCTAGAATAAGGCAAACGGGTTTAACCTATTAAACAGTACCTACCAGGAAAGCAAGCCCGCCAAAGCGGCAAACCTGGTGTTCCCTTGATGGTGAAAAGGTTGTCGGAGTTCAACCTCTTACTCGGACCAAGGAGTAGAGAAGCAGCTGGAGGACGAAGATTGAGGCGGCAGGGAGGTGCCTGCATGTTGAGTTGCCGCCTTTCTGATCGGAAAACAGAGCAAGTAATGGAGGTGTTGTAATTGGTGATTATCAAATGGGTAATTCCCAGCAAGATTCCTACCTATCTGATTGGTTTGGAGATGGTGGGCCGATAAATGTTTGTTCCGGCCGATCAATCTTCTTGAAAGGAAATCATGAAAACCATGATCATTGGATTTTCCCTTTCAACGAAATCGCATTCAACAAAGCGACTGGAAACGCTGAAAGGCGTGTGTTTTAGGGTAATACAGGAGTATCAAACTACTTCACTGACTGCATACAATGATTAAATTTGACAATTGTGATCAAAATTGGATCTTTAGTTTCAGGAGGGGAAATATAAAAATCCATAAACCTTGAAGAATAACTGCTAGGATGTTGTTTAAGGATACAGACTCTATGATTCACGTTTCATGACTATAGCAATAGCAAAAAGTTTGTGAGGTCAAACAAATCGAATATAAAGTTAGAATTTCAATTCCTTGAAAAAAGCTGAACAAAGTTTTGATATAAATTATGAACAAAGGGCCTACTTTGATCAAAGCACCAAAAAAAGAAAAACTAAGGGAAGTCAAAATGGGTAATACAGAAGTATCATCAACCCAAGTCTTCCGCATACTATTTGATAGTAACATTGGTCGTGTGACGAAATATCAACCTACAGTTAGCCTCTACCCGAATCAAAAAAAACCCTCAACCATCTTCGAGGAAAATCGAGATTATGTTCATCTGCATAATGGTGATAAACCTGGTAGATGAATCCGAAGACAGTCTATATAGTGCAAAACAATACGCGGAGATGTTTAAATCATGCGCGCAGAGCAGCAACTTTCTCTGACAAGTCATCGATGTCTTCCTCTTGCTCTACTATTGCATCTCCCTGTGATGAATGCAAATTTGATACAATTAAAAGTTTCCTAAACATTTACCCATTTTCTTCATTATATAATTAAGGGAAGTTTGAAATTTTCGACCATGATAGCTCATTATTTTCGACCATGATAGCTCGATTCTTCAAGTTAAAGAAAGATGAACCTAAAGGAAAACTCAATTATTGTATAGCTTAGAAGACAAAAATAAGGAGATCTGTTAAGAAATTTCAGGTTACCTCCACATCTTTCCTGCTTTTAACTTCTATACATTTAGAAGCACTAATGCTGGCACTCTTTAACAAGCTTCGAGCACCAATGCTCGGTCCATTTTGCATAATTCCATTTGGCTTTTCTGATCCATCTGACTGCCCGGGAGGACTCTGAAGGGTCGTGGCAACAGAAGCAGCTGATCGCTTTTCAAAATCATTATCCTCCGATTGTTTGTCATCTTTTGGCCCGGGAACACGCTCTCTGACAGTGTCAAAACACAACATAAACAATTGAGCAAAAACCTACAATTAGCAGGTGAAACAAAGCCAACCAGATATCCTAATTCATGCCCAAACAAATCTCAGGTATCAAATTTTTGCCTCTAAAGAATCAAAATCTTCATCCTAACAGGTTATCATCAGATCTCCTGATATGTAGACCGTTAAAAAGGAAAACCTTCAATATATGATTTGTATTAAGTTATAACAAACATGGGCGAAAGACAACCATTTTCACTATTCTCTCAGCTGATATTTGTGGTCCAAAAAATACTAGCATCATTATATGTTGAATACTAACTGTACTTTTACCATTTTTCCACAATATTGAAATTCCATTAAGTGGTTCACCGATGTCGCTACAAATTAGCTAAAATCTGGAAAAAGACACGATACAGCAAGTTGCACCAGATCATCTAAAGCCAAAGATAAAAGCACTAATCTAACCAGCCACAACATCAAACCCAAGGATATCCACAGATGTAAGGGAGCTTAAGTCCCCCACATGTACAAACGCAAAGATTTGATAATGGTTCCACTAAGATGTGCACTAATTATGAAAAGAGGGGGGGGCGGGGGGTGTTAAACAAAACTACATGGAAACAACAAAATATTGGATCTGATCAACTAATGGAGAGCAAACATAATGTCAATGTTAGAATTAACTTTATGAAAGAAATAAATTTTAGCAATTAGCATTCACATTTCTTCCTACAAAACATAGATAATTAGCATTTACACAACATACCGAGGTAAAGAAGCATGTTGCCTCTGGAGTGGAGTGCTCTTTTCACCTTTACCGTAATGTTCCTCGAGGTGGGCAAACTGTCTCTTGAACCGATCAACGCCACTAAAATACAGCAACAAGCAAGAATGAGTCTTTTGACAAGTGTCCCCACAATGAATTCAAAATTAAACACATTCCAGCACGTTTCAAAGTGCACAGACAAAAATATTGACTTAATACTAATGTAGGAATATGTCCAAGCACATGAATACAGAGTAAGGAAATTGAAAAAGAGCCTTAACCTTGGATACATAAACCCACTAGTCTGCTCTCCACCTCGGAGATACTCTTGAAGCATTTGGGGATGGTATTCCAAAATCTGTTTACACAAGACAACAGAGGGAAAACAGATAAGCTAATGTAACGAAGTACATCATTGATACAGCTAATTTGTGAAACAATGTCTCACCTCTCTATAAATTAACTCCCTCACATCATCTTTTGCCAGTTTCCTCCTCTCGAATTCAAATTCTAGTTTAGAAATAGGTTGAGTAGATGGTTCACGGTCCACGTTTGCTAAACCATGGAAATATGGATCAGCCAAGGCCTGCAACAAAGTTACTGTCATGGTTACTCTCACTAACTTCTCAGGAATCATTAAAGATCCCTTCTTTTAATACAGAAGAAGTTAGTAGCATTACCTCCTCAGCCGTTGGCCGTTCTTTAGGGTCAAAGGCAAGTAAACGCTCCAACAAGCTAAGAGCCAAAGGATCTACATGGGGAAACTTTTGAGTAAATGGAACTGGCTGCTTTTTACGCATGCTACTCAGATATCTTCTAGCCTTTTCGTTTCTGATCTGTGATTCCATGAAAGCAGAACAGCTCAAAAATGATGATAACAACTATTCAAATATATAAAGACAGTTCTTAAATGGAAAAGATAACAGGCTGGAGGAAGAATGACAGAATTCCTTGCAAGAAATAAAATGAATAAGGAGCAAGGGAGATTTCTAACCCTGGCAATTGATTCAGGAGGAGGAGTACCAAGCAAGTCTGTCATTAGATCTAACTGATGCACCACATTTTTACCAGGAAACAAAGGCTTTCCACTAAGCATTTCTGCAAATATGCATCCAATGCTCCAAATATCTATTGCAGGGGTATACTACAAAAAGAAAAATCAGAAATATCAGGGCCCAGTGTATGATTCATCCAAACATTAAAAGAACCATGGGCATACTTCAGATACAAGTGAAAGGGAAAGCCCCCGTTACCAAAATCCTAGAGTCGGTAGCTATTGTTTCCTATCGTTTAAAGGTTCCTCAACTCTTGCACAGCCAAAATTTGGAGAAATTTCATAGCCCCTCGCATCAGTACTTGTCTCTTTAAATTTTCAACTGAATAGAATATACATCATCCAGTATTTCAAGTTTTTATTGTGGCTGATTTAACATTTTCATCCACCGTGAAAATTCCAAACATTACCAACCCAATGAACAGACAAATATGAGTACTCACATATTTAATACTATTTAGAATACCACAGAGAACAGCTTTATAACACACTTCAAACAACACCGTCCAATATCAAAGCAATATATGGAACACGAAAGAAAGGAAGCAGTCTCTGGACCACTGTAAATGGGTCAAACTTTATCGGTAACTTGTTTACTCTAATCTGCTCATCCGCCCTAGTACATTGCAATTTCCTATGCTAAGTTACAGGCATTGCAAAACAATTGACTTACTTTAGAGAAGAAGGAGCCACACAATTCCGGAGCTCTGTACCACCGGGTAGCAACATAATCCTTCATCAGATTAAACAAATAAAAAATATTAAGATCTCCAGAGTAGAGAAGTCCCGAGATGAACCAGAAGAGGAAAAGAAACAAATTTCAAGTTCTAAGTAGACATACAGTCCAGAAGATAGCCGATGGAGCATCATTGAAGGATACACGAGCAAGTCCAAAGTCGCAAATCTTCAGTTTACAATCCGCATTAGCAAGGATATTTTTTGGCTTTAAATCTCGATGAAAGACATTAGCTGAAAGGGAAAAAAAACAAGTTGTCACCAAACATAAACCATAAATACAGAAAGCACAATAACTAGAATTATACATGTTATTATTGTTAAAAAGCAACCAACCAGTGTGAATATACTTTAGCCCACGAAGAAGCTGATATAAGAAAAACTGGTAATGCTCAGGTGTAAGATCATCATTTGCCTTAATCACTTGGTGAAGATCAGATTCCATCAACTCAAAAACAACATAAATATCTCTAAACTCTCTGCGAGAGGGAGGCAGCATAATGTGCTTTATCTCTACAATGTCTGGATGGCGCAGCAGCCGGAGAAGCTTTATTTCTCTTAGAATCCTGGTAGCATCAGATACGTGCTCAAATACATCATTGATCTTCTTTATTGCAACTTTTTCTCCAGTATGAGTATCAATGGCAGAGCCCACAACACCATAACTACCTTTTCCAACAACTTCTTGAACTTGATATCTACTTGCTTCTCCATATTCAGTAAAAAATTCCGTTTCTAACTGAAAGATAAGAAGAATGTCAGACACAAATGGTTGTCCAATAATTATATATTTAAAAAGAATATTAACCTTCAAAAAAGAGTTGAATGACCGTACGCCATAGACAGCTTGCCATTAATATGGCATGTTTCAATTCCTCGAGCTTTTGGGGGAACTAAATTCAAGTAACCAAATCTTTCCTAAAAGGAGCTTGCTCTCTTAACTAATGTACGGATTAAATACATTAACCTTACACATACACAAAATTTCCACCAGAACAGCAGACAAAGTTTTACAAGGACAAGAACTCCCTTTCCACAAACTGCATTACTCAAACATTTAGATTACCAATTGCAGTTAAGTGGCAAATTTGATTAGGCACCACCCACCCCCAAAGTAATAATGTTTTTATGCGAGCATATAGGTGTATGCATGGCATAAGCAGGAGCAGCGGACAATATAAACAAAATTATGCAGAAACGCAAGTTGCCAAAAAGTATAATGAATGATTAGACATCAAGCAGCATGACATTGTTTCAATAAGATCTAAATTTTCGGCCAGAAAAGGAATGCCAACTTGTGCAGAGGAAAACAGATATCCCACACAAATCTGATCATCCTCCTTAATACAAATCAAGTCCGGATAGAAATAATGGAACTCAATATATTCAACTTCAAAAGCTATCAGTACACTTGACCTCCAAACATGATAGTCAAAACAAAAACCAATGTATGCGCATTGTGCCTAGTCAAAACTGTAGATGCATGCGTCATTATTGCTAGACAGATAGATGACCGCGTAATGCGACCCATTAAAAATTACACATCAGATTAACAAAATCACGAAAGAGATTGGCAAAAGCAGAACCTATCAACAGAAACCGTCAATAATCCAGCACCAAAACACAACAATAAACAGATCCACATAGCAAATTGAAACCGTCAAGGAGGGGGTGTGGAGGATCTTCTCTACCTTCTTATGATGATCCATTGAGGATGAGGAAGAAGACCCAAAAGGGAAATTAACACGCTTGGGAACCTTAATAGCCTTGAGCCCAGAAAAATCAAAGTCTTCCTCGATCGTGAACGTATCTGGTTTGTCACTACTAGTAGAGGTGGTGGTGGTGGTGGTCACTGAGGAAGAAGAATGATAAGAAGAGCCTTTCCGAGAAAACCACCTTCTAACTCCATCCACAAATGTTCCTCCCCCCATATAACTGCAACAAAAAACTATATAACAAACTCCCCTCTTTTTTTTCTCCCACTCTCTCCTCCCTAAACTCCCGATTCTATTCTTGCTTCTTCACCAACCGATCTCAGCATTTCATGCTTTCTCTCTCTCTCTCTCCCCTTCTGAGCACAAAAACAAAACAAAAATTAGACAACTGTTTTGATTACAAATGTTCTATTCCGATTCTTCGATTCTTTCTCTATAATGGGCTGCCCCTTTCTTTAATTCCTTGACTACGTGGTAGAAATCGGGGATTTTTGTGGGAAGAGGCGGGTGTTTTTTTTAAGGTAATGTAGGGAGGAGTAGTATATTTTTGTGTTGAAAAAGTTGTGTTCTTGGACCTTTGGTGCTTTTGTTTGTGTTTCGTGTCAATGTCCTAAAATTGAATTGAAGGCTTTCATGAGGGTCAATTAAATACTTTCACCAATTAAAATAAGGTCAAAAAATCTAGCTGTTGATTTGCATGCATTATGGGCTGGAGTTGTGCACATCACACGCCTCACCCAACCCACAAAAATAAGTCACCAATTTTTTTTTTGACATTTTCAGCATGATGATCTAACACCGTTTCTGTACAGGTATTTGTCCTTGTCTTTGTTTTTCCATTTTTTTTTTTTTTGGTGCTACTAGTTAATACCATCAAATAGTCAAAACACCTTCGTTCTTCTTTGATTTGAAAACATTCTCAAGTTATTCTCACATCAATTGAAAGATTAGATTAGAAGATGAAGGGAAGAAACTGTTCTTATCTATTTAATGAAGACATTTAAATATGGGCTTAAATGATCATAAAAGACTACCCAATTTCTTCGTCTAAGAGCAACTCCAACAATTGTACTATAATTCACACTAAGTTTAGTGTAAAATTAAAATATTTTAAATATTTTTTACACTAAATGTCCAAGCACTCCAATCTTGTTTCACCAAATTTCTAAGTGTTATCGTTTAAATTTTATTTCGATTGTTAAAAATCTTATAGTTTGGTAATAATTTTATTGTAAAGGTTATTTCATAATAATTTTACTGCAAAAGTATAAATTTTTTTGATATTTAATTTTAATAGTGACTAAAAAATATTTATGAAAAAAATAAATAAATATTATAATCAATATGGGTCTTATTTTGAAGACCTTGATGAGAACTTTAATATGATATAGATTTCTTAACACATTTTATTTTATAAGTTTAATAATATATCAAATTATGTATTTAGAGTAAAGTAAAAAAAATAGTGTACAAATATAGTGTAATTGAAAGTTTACACCAAAATGGTATGATGATTCAGTATCTCCCTAGGAACACAAATTTTACACCAAAACAATGAAACACTAGATTTACTATTTTGCTGTCTTGGTTGAAGTTGCTCTAAGTACCAAAAAAAAAAGTGTAAAGAAAACACAACACATATCCAAAGCGTTAAGCGTAATGTCATAAATGGATCCAAACTCATCTGCATGGTCCTGCATGATAAAAAAAAATAAAAAAGAAAATCTTTTTGAAAAAAACAGAAATATATATATATAATCAACATAATACTCCCTCCGTTCCAAAATAAGTGTCATTCTAGAGTTTGCACATAGTTAAGAAAACATTAAATAGGGTAACTAAATTACTAGAATATCCTCAACCAACCCCATTAAAATAAATATTACCAGTAATATTGTTTATTTTGAGAGTATGTTTGAAAATTTTTGACAAAAAAATGCATTGAAATTCGAAAACAATACTTATTTTGAAATGGAGGGAGTACACACTAAGTAAACTTTATAGAAAAAAATTGGCGATTCTACTAAAAATTTCAATATCGTTGTTAATAATTCAAGGGTGTTTTTATCAGTCAAAGTTGTCCAAACTATATAAATTTTTTTTATCAATTTTGTCCAGTTGATCCAAATTCTTTCAAATGTATCGAATTTCCTTTGGGTTGTTAATAAAATAAAATTTAGTATTACAGAAAATCTCATATAGTTTTAAAAATACAATATAAACCCCAAAAATAAAAAAATAAAAAAACAGTCGTGTTAATCTAAGGATACAACATTCGAAGATACGTACATTTTCTTATTTTTCTCAAATGAATTTCAAGGGTTTAAGTAATGAGTTGTTGATTTTTAGGCCGAATAATTTTCAGCTTGCAAAATCTCTTTGTTAATTAACAACCAAATTATAAACATGTCGTGAAGGAAAACTGTATAGTGACACCATCTGCAAAACCTCCTAAACTTTGAATTGACTAAGTCAAATGCCGGAAATTGCTAATTTATAACCAGCAAGATGAAGAAGACCGAAGTGTAAACCTCCTAAATTACATATTTAAACTACAAGTCTTCAAACCTACAAAAACACTTCTTATACATCAAAAAGAGTCCTCCGTTCACAATTAGTCCTCTAATGCCAGATTGGATATACAATTCCAATTCAACAAAACAAAACACTTTTGCTTCCCTTTTTCTTTGTTGGAATTAACTCCTTACTGCTCCTTTTCACCGTAATCATTGATGGCCTACTTCAGCCCCATCTTAGGTTGTAAGTAATTTTAACTCACTTACACGGTGATGGCGTCAGGAGGTTTCTCCTCTTCTTCTAAGTCGGAAGCACGATTGAGAGGGTGCTCCTCCTCTATTGGATTGCTGTCAAACTCTTCAAAATCCTGTAGAGTCGCCATCAAAGTTTCCTTACTTTTTCCTTTACCACCCTTTACTTTGAATTTAGACTTAATATTGAAAGTATTAGTCCCATCTCTTGGTTTTCGTCCAAAGGAAGGGTGGTGTGTCTTGGGCATCCGATGGGTTAGACCCGAAATTGGATGAAGAATATGCACTACTATGTGATTTTGACTGTTTATGACGGGTTGCGAGATATTCACAGCAGTGAGCATTTCTTGCTTACCCTGAGTATGAGTACTTTCCTGCACCGGATTTCCAGACCTCGTTTATGAAGACTAACCAGTGGTTAGTACATCCATTGGGGCTTCAGCCTCATTAGAGAAGTTTCAGCAATAACCTTAGGTGAGCAATTTTTTTGAACCCAAATCATTGTATCCCTAGTTCTTTTATTCTCATATGCAACCTGTTTAGTTTCAGTCACTTGTTTGTTTTGTTTTTTGGATGGTTTTTTCATAATAATAAAATAGTTATTGTCACATCCCAATATACCTTTTTACATTTTCAATGCACCTTTTTACATTCCCAATAGAAAAAACACTTAAAAACACACACTAAAAAAAGAAACAAACATTTCCGAGCCCACCACAAAATTCTTAGGTTGGGTTGGATCCAATTGTTCAACCGGGTTAACACCCTCTTCTTCCATATTTGCCTTACATAGGGCCTCAAAAGAATTAAAGACAAAAGCATTATTCTTTGTCCCCACTACAGTACTTCTCCTCTTGTTAGTTAATATTTTGCACAATTGCTCAACAACATTAGATGGTATATTGCTTGTCAAAAATTCTAGTTTTTCAAGCAATTTCAATTTAACTTACACATCTTCTAGTCTTTTCATTTATTATAGGCAATAAGATTAATGTCTGCACTTACAACAGAATTTCATTTCATGATCCTCATTTTCATCCATTTTACTAACAGCTGCCATAAACAAGTTTCACATCGATGTTTTATAACCGATCGATTCCATCTTTCTTTAGTAATGAAATCTCACAATGTTTAAATTTTTCAAATATATTTGTTCTTCTTCTGGAAGTTTTTATTCACAGTATTGAAAAATCATTTAATGTCACTAATTCTTCTGGATTATAACCACTGCATTTGCCATCTTTATTGATTTAAACATTCTCATTCACGAGAATATGTTATTATTAGAATCGATAGTTTTATAACTCATCAAATGGATATTTAATTAAAAAAAAATAGTGGTAGATAGTCCTTTAGGGACGTAACTTCAAGATTTTAAACATTAACAACCTTTTGCATTTAACATAGTTACACATTCTGGTCATACAAATATATGGTCTTAAACTTTATCTCTTGAACTTCAAGTTCATACTATCGAGGATTTAATGAGATAATAATGTCGTCCATTTGATTAATGAATCGGCTATTTTCACTTCTCTCCTTGATGTTGGGATAACTAATTCATCAAACTGATAGTCAGCCAATTGAATAGTAAATACATCTCCTTATAGAGTAATTAACTCGTCAAACAGATAATAAGCCAACCGAATAGTAAACCCAACATCGCTCACCCCAAAGGCTGGTGGTTCAAAATACATCATATATTCTTAACCTCTTCCAAGGTTTTCATCTTTGTGTTCATTGTGGTAGAGTAATTATTATAAATCGCACATCTAAATTTTGATGATGGATATATATGGTTTCTCACCAAAAACCAATGTATGAAAAATTTTTTGTAATAGGCCATTTGGGTTTATGCATATGGTTGATGATTTCTTTGTTTCAACACGTCCTCAATTGTATATATAAGGTGTTTTACTTTCTTTTTTAACACGTTTAATGAACGATTCTACTGGACCGTTTTACTTTTACTTTTGTAGGCACTCTGTGATCAAGTTTAATCTCTAAAACATTTATTCTGATATTAGTTCATGCATTTACTAGAACTATCAAATCAAAAATTCTTTTGTAGAAGAATATAAAAATATACACATAAATAAATTGAGGTCGGTAATTAACTTCCAGAAACTCCAAGTTGCAAGTTAATGACAAACATACAAGTGACAATCTTTTAGTACATCAGTTAATTTGTTAGAAGAAACTCCCGATTCTCTAAATTTTAAACACATTAACTTAGTTATGTCAAATGTATAAATTTACTGTAAATAGTAAACTTCTGGTTTGACTTGTTGTGACGAGAAGTGAACTTTTGGTTCTATGGTAAACTACCAATTTACTATAAACTCAACCATAGTAATATGTGTATCATATTTTAAAACAAAAGAATATAAATGTTAAGACAATTTCCTTCTGAAAATTGTATTCTTAACGTAAAAGTATATGATGGCA